GTTAATTATATTAATGGCAGCCAAGGCAGCAGAGCTTGCCCGAAATAGTTCAATCAACAGGCGAACATATCAAAATACACAAAAAAATATTTATCATAATTTTCTTGGTGTTGTTGTTTTTTGTAGTTGGTTGATTTGAATGTTGAACGCACTTAGAGCCTCTCACGTGGCATAGTATATAAGGGCGGCATTCATGTGGCCTGCCCGCAAAGTCAGATGTCACATACATTGAAGTTTGATTCGGCAGGCTGTAAACACCAAACAGTCAGTAAGTCACGCACACGAACACACGCATCAAAAAGTTGTCAGAAGTTCAGGAGAGTGGGGAAGTGTTGGAGTGGGAGAGGGAACTCATGTCAGCCGACGCAAGAGAGAGGGGGACGTCAGCTATTTGCTTGCCCTTTTCTGACATTTGCTGCCAAAGTTGATATTATTAATTTACAGCGCGTAGCAAGCGAGGGAATGTCATACCCCAAAGATACCCTGCATACACCCAGCCAGCCACCCACCCCCACGCCCCATTCTTCGCCCCACCGCAAAGTATGCCACACGCATTTTCCCTTGTCCCGGGCGACATTTATCGGCAAGTTTGTCAGCAGACCGAGTAGGCGGTGCGTGGGTGTATGTGTGAGTGTGTGCACAGGACATACACACACACATTCACACACACACACACGCCATAATCATAAAATGATTTTATTGCGCTGGCAATTTCATTATTTCGGATTTTAATGTAATTTCTCCCAGTTGGATTTGAGGCAAGGATCTTAAATTTCACTTGACTGGGAATTGAGCAATTGGGCAATTGACTGGCTCCGTTTACTAATTAGACACATGGTCAACTATAAAGCAGAGACAGATATACACCACTTTCCAAGTATTTCATTAATTAATTTGCCAATTTCATTCGCACACCGTCCGCTCAAGTCTCCAACGGGTGCTTAACACAACTTTGTGTGCCGCAAGTGCCAAGGAAAAGAAAAAGTATATAAAAATAGGAAGCCTGAGAGCTGCGAGCAGGGCGG